TTTATTTGCATATAATAACTGTTTGCTGGCAATATCCATCTTTCCTTGTATATTTTCATTATTTTCATATTGATTAATTCGTGTAGACAATTTGAAAATCACAGTTGTCACAAGGGCAGTGATCACAACGAAAATGAAATACTTAAGTAAGCTTTTAAGATTTCGTTTCATTTTGACTTCAGGCATGGAAAGTAACCAGACATAATAATAAAATATTATTTTATACCTACCAATATAAATACTGTACTTGATTACAAGCAACAAGCAATATTTAGTAGGTACGTGTACCTAACAAAAACTAAAGAAGTAGGAGACGTTTCGTTCCCATAGCAATATAAACGTTATGAACAAATAGTACTGAAGTAGTAAAATTGAAATACCGACAAAAAAAAAATGACTAATGAGTGATGACGGATGGCAGTGGCGAAAGATAAGTAGAGAAGTGCATTTTCAAAATAGAGACAACGGCATAATAATATAGATGTATAGAGTATCGCGACAAGGCGTAGGCAATCTGCAAGTCGCACTGCCAAGTGCCAACACGCGCCGAGTCTCCCACAGCCGCGCTTTATCTTTATCACAATTATTCGTTTTTATCATCAATAATGGCAAATCATGACATAATAAACAATATGATGACCATCGAACATTATATTATAATGTTATGACAGAACCATGAAGACTACAATAATATAATAGATAAGAATAACACTATTAAAATTTTAAGTATAAACTAATTAAACTATAAACTATTATAACACATTATTTAGTCATGTTAGTAATGTAGTACACGTACACACAGTTAGCTACGAAATGTGGTATAACAATAACATAATGTAGACTAGTAAAAAGGAGTAACAGTAATCAGTATACAAAATACATACCTAATAAATAATAATAATATTTAAACTCATTGGCTTAAATACACGATTTGGGCCAATTGGGAATTAGTCACCCCAAATTTCTACCAAGTCCCCCTCCCAATTCCTTACACTTTACACCGGTAGACGGTACCACGATTCAAGATAGATAGTTTAGTATCAACCTGTGCAAAACAAAAATGTTTACGCAACCTCGGTTTTTGAAAAAATCTAATTTATATTTTTCTTTGTTGTATTCAAAAAAGATAACCTTATCCATTATGAAACAATATATTAATGACCTATATTGCCATTTCTACACATGTAATATATTTTTAAAATAATTTGGCTCATTTTGAACTATTTATAAACATAAAATATGCCTTTAAATATTTACAATTAAATAATACTTTTTTTAACAAAGATACACAAATTATTATAGTTTTATACTCAGGGTATTTTTTCCTTGGCCGCTTAAATACATCACAAATAAAAAAAAATGTGAAGTCAATCTGTTGTATATAAAATAATCTTTTATACCGTGTATAGTAAAAATATAGTGTACGATGAAAACAACTCTATAGCGGCTAACAGTGCTAGCGAAGACTAAATTTCTAAAGATAGTTTATTATATATGTAATTATATTTACATTGGTAATTTATTTTTTTATAAGTAATATCGTAGTAGTATTTCATTGTGTCTATTTCAGACCTTCTATCCGGAGGGATTGTACATTTTAAAATGGATATATATCATAGGAGCAAATATTTTTTATTTTTTTGTCTTTTAATGTTTCCATTTTTAAATTTTAAATTTTAATTCTTATTTTAATCTGTAATGTTTATTATATTTTTGTCTTTTAGTGTTTCCATTACTAATTTTAATGTTTATACTACTTTAATTAATTAAGTTTATTATTAGTACTCCAATTTCACCAATAAGAGATTTATCCTCAGTGGTGTGTTGGGCCATTATACTCGATATTCTTTTATTATAACTACTGTACTGTGATCATATTATTATGGCCAATAATAAATTATTATTATTATTATTATTATAAAGTAAAGAAAAAAGCGCCCATAAAATATTTAGTCATTCAGCACAACATAAATTGGATAAAAAAAGTTTTATTTAATATAAATTTTTCCAGTAATACTGTAATAGTGTACCCCTGGTAGCCCCTCTGAAATAAATACTACTAATTGTATCACACATCTACGATCTACTCATTGTATTTTATAAATCATTTAACATTTTTTTAGTATAGATGAAAGAAATTAACAAGTAATATCATACAACTTCATTCGCAACATAATAATACATTAATATTATATTGTCTGAACTTTGATTACCTACCTATTAATATTGTAATACCTACTAATTATCTGGCTAATATAGCTCACCTATATAGGTATTAAGATGTTGTGACTATTTCAAATCGGAAATGACAATTGCATAAACATAACTTTAAATTATTATAATTTTTTTAATTTTGAAGTTTCGTTTGGAAACAATCAAAAGCGTGAATAACAAAATCATGACTAAAATCAGGAAATAACAAAAGTTTAAAATTTAGAACCAAATATAACACGAAATTGTGAACGTCGCTGCCCGCGTCGTGTAGACGTGTAGTAGGTCTATTTACTTAATCTATATTTACTCTTAAAATTAGACAATAATCAAAAACACATTTAAAAAAATATTATTTCATAAAATATGATTTAATTTTAATTAAAAAACAGGTAAATATGTTAAAATGTCTCAAAAAGTTCAGAAATAAGACTAGAATCTAAAAAATTGCAAAAATATGCAAAATTCAGTTCTCTGGATCAAGAAACAAATTTTTAGTTAATTCTGCTATTTCTTAAACATTAAAAAAAGGGGTTTAATATTATATTTATATAATATTGTTTAAATTTATACATATAGGTAATATCAATTATTAAACATTAATTTTAATATTTTTTTTAACTTGGTAGATCTGACCTGTTTATTATTCTAAACAAATTAGTTGTGACATATACGGACATACAGTAACACTAAATTTATAATATAATAATATATATATAATATATAATATATATTATAATGGATATTTGTATTACTTTAGTAGATAAAAAATTGTATTTCGCGTTCAAAAAAATATTATATGAGTATAAATTGTATTATTCAATTGTTTTATTTTTGACTATTCATAATTCACAGTATCTTAACTAATGAGTATCGACATTTTTTTATACTAGTGTACATCAGTTTAATAAATGCACTAGATTATTATTTTAATGTTCAATGTGTTGTGTAATATACATGTTTATGATTACTAAGCGCCTAACTGATACGAGGGCAATGGCACTGCGAGCTGCGGGTCTGTGCGGCTTATATTATATTCTAGCCCCTCCAGATTATTGACTCTAATTGCGTTTAAGCACACATCATCAAATTTTAACTATATAGCACTATAATATCTACTATACAGTGTTTATTTTACTTTTAGTTACCCAGAAAAAAACTCAGATAGTCGTTTATTGATTTAAAAGAAACAGACCATTCAAATTATTTGTTTGTTTATATTTTACTGTAGGTAGGTAGCCTTATTAGTTTTTCTTATTTTCCACGTAAAACCGTTTTTTATAAAACTATGCAATCATGCAACAACTAACCATTATGGATATTGGGTACTGACGTGAAAGCCAAGGGTGAGACACGAGACCACTTGTAATAGTTGTAAGTTGTACCATGCTTGCAGATTGGTTATTGTTTGAATTTTCTTATTTTTAATTGAAATTGCCTATATCAAACCCCTTTAACCCTTTAAAAATCAGTTGTGCTGTGTCTACGGTGTTATCTAAAAAATATTTTAGATAACTGGTCACTGGTGGCATCGTATATTCTATATACATAAACTATATTATAATATATCTATTTAAATATGTCTAATATTTTGTATAGTCACGAAAATTGTATACCAATAATCATTATTGAGCATTGGAGCGTGGACTAAATTTTTATTTAAAAATATATCATACTATCTACAGCAGTACATCACTACTACTACAACAAAGGCGCTGAGCTGTTACCTATTTGCCCACTTTATATTATTTATAATTTATACCTCAATGAATATTTATCAATACAGATGAATTCGAGATGGATTTATCACTTAATAAGTGGATTAATTCTTTTACTACCTATTTATCGTAATTTATGAATGTCATAATATCTAATTTTTTCCGCCAAAAATTCAGAAGACTCCAATAAAAGCTGTAGTATAGGCCTCGCAGGTTAAAAATTACAATCCAACTTTGAAACTCAAATTGTGAATAACTGTTGAATTTAAATTAATTTTAAATTGTAGTTATGTCTTATTTTACTAATATAATTAATAGTTACATACTATATTATCTACAGTCAATTAACAGTATCTATCACAAAATAGAAATAACTAATAAGACACAACTGCAAAGTGTAAATGTATCTACACATCACCGTGATCGTCTTAATACTTACGTACTGTATACAAGAATACAAGATACATATCTTAATTTGTGGCTCTGCCATACTATTAATTGCTGCAATTTTACTATACACAATTCTAATTTACTATTAAGTATTACTGTTTTTGTATTGCATAGGTGACACCTAACGGTAGTATCACAGAATACAGATTATATTAAATATATAATGTTTAATATAACCTGTGGTAGTGTGGTACCATCCACGACCCACCCCTTTCACCGAACATCTTTCGACCGTGTTCTGCGCCACTGACAAGTGACAATAACATATTAACATCTATATCTTACAAACTACGGATGGTTGGAATGGTTCTTAATATAAATTATAATATTATAATGTGTGGAGCTGACAACCACGAAACTTCGAAATTTAGAAGACTAAAGCAATAATATTATAAAATAATATGAGCTTACAAGTTACAAGCAACACGTATAGTGCATAAGTGCATTAGTGCATACTGCATACCTAATATTTAAATATTTTGAATTTTGAGATCCCTTTCCATTGCACACACCAGTGCCACAGTGCAGTGGTACCATAGAATGCAATACCCGTAGTCACATAATATCGGTCACATGACGGCGTGCGGCTGTAGTTGTCTCGGTTGTCCGACCCACCCACTGACTGGTGCATGCGCAGCACAGGTGACAGCGTTGTATCTCCATGTTTTGTTTACAAATAGTTAGATTGTTGTTAGCCTAGAGAAAATTTGCAACTACCTGATACCTCTGAAATCCGCCGGCCGCTGCGAATTGTGATCTGCGATCGATCGCCAGTCGCCACTCGCCGGTTGTAGTCGCCACTCGCCGCACGAGTGTAGTGTGTATGACTACAAAGTACTGGATTGATGACGATTGTATACGGGATACAGGACTAAATATTTATCAATAAATCATTGGTGCTTGGAAATACTCTCTTTTCTATTGAAGAATGAGGAGTGAAGACTGGAGTGTTGAACATTAATGCATTATTACAACTATCGATGTAGAAGTATCTGCATCTGCGCATTAACTGACCCTCAACTTGTGCCACAAAGCATAACACATTATCGCCCTTAAGGATAAGGACATAAGGCTTACACTTCTATACTTCATAGACGAGTATACAGTCTTAAGCCTTTTTACTTGTCTCTCTCACTAGTCAGTAGTCTTACTACCTGTTGGATAAATTCAAATACCTATCTATAACAATTTTGTTGTATCAACTTCCTAGTTCTTTCTATAGACGACATTGTTAAGCACATTACACGCTGTGAAATACGACGGTAAGTTCATATTATTATATTGAATTTGTTTCAAATCCTTAATATAAATTGCTGGGTCACCGATTCAATGTTGACATGAGCTTAAACACTTTATTGGTGTTGTGATTCAGCAGAGTGGTAACTAAATTCATTGTATGAGATTTACATTGATTATCCAATAAATCGTATCCAATTAGATATGAAAAAATATGTTGTCTTGCTTTGCTTGAATCTATTTTTCATTTCTCTATATGTGCAATTTTTAGAAAATGACCGAAACAATGTGTTGATTAAAATTTAACATTACAATCATGATGTCGGAGTGTTGAAAACTGTAACATTATGTTTCAATAAGTTTGTATATAATACAAAATATTATCAAATAAAATAACTGTATTACCAATTTTAAGTAAAAAAATAATATTTCAAGCGGGTAAATAAAAGACATTTTTAATAGTTAAAAATTAGGTTGTATTCATAATAAATAATGTATTCTACTGATTTAGATATATGAATAAGTACATTTATGGGAGATAAAACAAAATTAAATACAAAACATTAAGTATATAATATAAAGTGCATTTAGAAATCAGAATATCACCTTCAAGCCTTATTAGGACAGCCAGCAGCATTTTTAATTTACACTATATTATATAAGCAAAACTTGCTAAAAATTGAATTATTGTGAAAAACTTCACATACAATCACAGATAATGTTCTTACTTTTAACCATCAAGTTTCATTATAGGTTGATTCATTCTAATTTTTAAACTGACAAAGCTGAATGTGATATACGGGGTTTAAATTTGTTATGTTACATTATTTTAAAACAGAGGACAACAAATGCTTGTGTCGTGTCCTATTAAGTATCTCTGAAAAACAGGTTATATAATTACTAGACTTAAAAGAAAAAACAACATCTGGTTGATACATTTTGGAAAAGAACGTAGTATCTTGATTTTTAAGTTTATAAATTTATGAATTTATCAAAAATTATGATGTCATTTATATCTATGTATTTCTTTTAAGAATATTACTATTTCTTCATAACTTCCATACTGTTTATTAATTTTTTCTGCAAAAAATTTACTTTACACCTGTAAATACAACATTTTATTAATAAAATTGAATATAACAACTTTTAAATTAGTTATTTATATGTTTAAAAGAAAACTAAAATACTAACCTTGAACTTAGACAATGTAGAAATCCACTTTTTAAGATTTTCTAAAGTAAAGGCATCGACATATTGTTAAAATTGATTTCAGGCAGTATTTTGTCTGTTATTTCTTAATATATTTAAGACTTTGATGTATGATTCATAAATGTTTCAAATAATTTTTTTGATAGTATTAATTATTAATTATTTATATTGATTTTTTTTTACTATCTAAATACAAATAAAACTATACTTTGTAGGTACTTAATAATATTTCCTTAATGTTACAGCTATTGTGATCATGGAAAACGAAGCTGATAAACGAATAAGACTTGCAAGAGTAAGTTATTATTTTTATGTACTAACTTAATTTAAATAGTTATTTATTTTATTATAATAACAGGCATTAGCCTAGTTTACCATAAATTAATAACAATGATAAGTTATAAAAATATTGTACCAAATGATTACATTTTTATTTTTAGCTATTGTTGAATCTTGGTCATTCATATCTGCATACTGTTGAAATAGAAAATTCAGAAGGAGAAAGTGGAGAAACTGAATCTGGGGAAACTGAAGTCGAAGAAACTAAATCTGGAGAAAAAGAAGTGCAAGCAAAATGTAATGTAAGTAAACAACAGAACACAGAAGAAGAGGAAGAACAATTTGGTAAACAACATAATGGTAAAGTAATTAAACAACAAGAATTGGAAAAAAAAACAAATCTAGAAGATATAACTCAGCAGTTGTCTAGAGATATACAACAAAAATCTTGCGAAACTTTACCTGTTAAAGTTCACACAGAAAAACATGACCTGGAAAAAGAAGTTGCAAATAAATCTAATGAAAAGAATCATGAGTTTTTAATTGACTTACCAAAAGAATCCAATAACACAGGTCAACAGAAGTTAGAATGTGGAGTAGATTTAATAGGTGAAGTGCAAGAGGAATTTAGTAAAAAACAGCAAAAACTCCATACAGATGACCAACCAAAAATTGATAAAGATAAGGAACACGAAGGTGATGAAAAACTAATTAAAGATTCTGAAAATGAAAAAAAAGAAATACAAATTCAGTTACTAATTGAAGTCCCGCCCATGCCTGATGAAGAAGTGGAATTATACTTAGATGTGCAAGTTGATTCAGAGTGTTTTAAAGAACTTAATATACAAAAGCAGGAAGTGCTTGGAGAAAAACAACAAACAATTGATAAAAATCAAAAAGCATTTGACACAAATATGATGCACACGGATCCCAAATTTGATGAAGTAAACATATCACAAGACATTGAAAGACATATTCAAAATAAAATAAACCAAAAATCAGAGCAAAATATGGAGGAAGGAGAAATACAACCAGAATTAAATGAAAATTTGCAAGAACAATACAATATTGATGTACAGCATGATGATAAAGAATTACAGCAAGATGATGATGAAGAAGCACAAACAAATATCCATAAGGAAACTATGGACAAAAATCATAAAAGAATACTACAAGAAATCGAATCACTTATACGTGATTTTAAAAATAAAAAAAAGACTGAGAATGAGAAAAAAACATACAATATAAATGAAGATGAAAAATGTGACGATTTGACAGCAAAACGAATTGCAAAAATAACAAGAGAAATTGAAGAATTAGAGTTAGACATGGAACAAGAGCAAGATGAAGAATTAGTAAAGGAATATATTGATGAATTTAATCGTATGTTTTCATCAGTTGTCAAAGAAAAATTCTTAGAAAAACTACTTCTTTCATTTAATGAAGATGCAGCACCATATTATAAAAGAATTGATAATTTGCTTAATAATTATTTTCCAACTAAATTAGATACAACTAATGATAAAATATCAATAGATCCTACTTGTTCTAAATTTAATGAAGGTCCTATAGAAAGGTCTGATGTAGCCAATGATGCATTTGAAGAAACACAAGAAAAGTCCGATAAAAGAATTGAAGAAGTAAAACAAGGGTCTGATATGTACAAATTTGAAATACTTCCAGAAGAATCTGATATAGAAATGGAAGAATTTGAAAATAAAGTAGTACAAGAAATGCCTTACATTGAAAACGAAGACGAAACACAAGAAGAATCTGATGTAGATGTGGAAGGATTATCAAATCCTGACAATGAAGTAACAGGAGGCTTAGATTGGAACTTACAAATAGAGTCTGAAATAAATGCAGACGAATCTGATGGACAGTCATTACAAGATAGCGAAGAAGAATTAGAAGAATTAAATGAAGATGTAAACATAGTAACTGAAATAGTTTATGATTATGAAGTTGAAGAAGAAGCAGAATCTAGTTCAGTGGAAGAACTTGATTCAATTGAAAAATCTGATGCTACAAATAATGAATTTAGTTCTAAAGAAATAAAACAGTGTAGTGATGAAATACAACAGGAGATTGATAAAAAAGGACAAGTTAAATGTATTGGTAAAATACATGAATTACAAGGAGATTTACTAGAAAAAATTGATAATGATAAACCTGAGAAATTTGAAGATTTACAACTACAAATGGAAATAGAAAATATACAAGATTTAGACGAAATACCATTAAAACTAAAAATTCAGCAAGAACAATTAGAAGAAAAATTGCATCAACAAATGAAAACCTTTCAAGAAGAATTCTATAAAAATTCAAAACTTGAGTATGACAAAGAACAACAGTTAAAAGGTAATACATTAAATGACCCTGTTTATGATAAACAGCAAAAATTGTTTTATGAACTAAAGGGCAAATTTCTAAAAACAAAAGAAGAATATAAAGATTTAGTACAACAAAAAATGATTGAAGCATTACAACAAAAAGTTGATGAAAAACAGTTACTAGAAATGAAAGAATTTCCAGAAGAGTTTGTTGAACCAAATATAGAAATAGATGATCTCCACAAGGAAGTTTTGCAATTACAACGTGAATGTACTGAGTTAGAGCCAGAATTTAGCTATAATATACCATTAGTTGTTGACGAAAAACCAAGCAATAAGAAAACTCAAAAAGTCAAGTATAATTTGTATGAAAAATTATTTGAAATACACAAAAAAAAATTATGTTTTTTTGCTGATTCTAAAGAGTGGCCTGAAAAAGTATGTACAAATAAAATAACAATAACATGATAAAGTTTCAATATTATATTAGTTTTACATTTTTTTTTAGTATTTATACCCATCAAGTTTGCTGGATGAATTATTTGATGATCCTTCAGAGGTTAATCCTAATTTTTTTGTGATCACGTTGTACTCTGTTGACATTGGTTATTCAATTAAAATAACCATGAATAAGAATACACCACCAGTTGAAACTTTTTATAGCTACGCTGAAGATTCAATATTAGAATTTGTGGAAAAAGAACAACTTCCACCCTGCTTATTACATTTGTTTGATAAAGCTAGACCAAGGTTATTTTATAATGGATGTGTTATAGCAGAAATTCATGATAAGTATTATTGTGAAGACTCAAAAAAAGTATATCGAATCTTATTGCATCCTCATGCTTTGGTAAGTTAGTAATTTAAATTTATTACAAAAAATATGTGTATGATGTTAGTTTCATATTTTATTTTTATAAAAATTATTTTTTCAACATAAATATATTCTTTCAGTCCATTCAGAGTGATGTGAATCGAATAATTGAGAAATGTAAGCCTGCCCATTGTTCATACGAACAAAGACTAAAGATTGAAAGTGATTTGCTGAGACTAAATTTTCCTGTAATGTGTATGGATACGGCGCCTATTTCTGGTTTAGTTGTTCAGTTACAACACCAATTGTTAAGTCGTCGAACCATAAATCTAAACCCACTAAAAATCAAAGATCCTTCCAACTTTGAAATGGATTTGTCTAAAAAATCGCAAGACGACAGATTACCTAAAACAGAATTGAATAAATCACAAAAATCATCTTCAACATCGATGGTCAGTTAAAAATATTTTTATCGTTTTAATGACATTCACAGATTAATTTAAATTAAATTAATATTATTGTTTTTGAACCTGTATTTGTATGTTTAGAAAAATACTACAAATGACAATATTATTCATCACCTTTTATGGAAGTTTGAATTCCGTATCCAAACATTTAAACTTATCAAATTATACATTTTTGTAGTAACTGAAACTCTAGAGTATTCTATGTTATTGTGTATGAACTCAACTGTTCCACGTTCTAAAAAAATGAGGTATGACATTTATAATGGATAATTTAAATTATAGGATTTTTAATGTTTGTGTTATTGTAGGTTTAAAATAAATCTTGAAACAAATAAATTAAAAGCCTATATTGATGTGATATTAGAAATTCTTAAAAAAAATGTTAATCCTGACATATTAGTGGTTCGAAGATATAAAAGTGACGATAAATCAGTACCTCAGTCTATTACATGTGTTCCATCATTGTTGAATGACAATGTTTACGAACCTGGTTCAGCAGATATTTCTAAGGTATACAGCATTATACAAATTGTGAAAATTTATATTTTAATGTTAATCTTAAAACAATTATTTTGTTTGAATTTTAGTTTCTAGATGAGTTGTTAGAATTTATACCTAAATGTGACCCCCAATTTGATCAACAAAAGACTGATGAAACAAAAGGATATTTAAAAGTAAATAAAAAGGTAAAGTTAAAATTGAATAAATATGTATACACACATTGAAGCAATGGCACGGAATGAAATTATAACTGGCAGTTCAAATAATTTGATTAACCAACCACCATACCTTCCAATTTACCACCCCTTTAAACGACTGTGAAACAGGCTTAAATTTAACTCACTTTATTTAAATAATTAAATGACATTTCTACGTATAATAGAATTATAATAGAAAGAATTGGAAGTATACTCTATTATTTTACTCACCCACACCCAACTACTTGAAGTACGAATTTAGTGCCACTGCTTTAAACAATGCTAATGAGTTATTTTATTTACCAAACACATTCTTATAAGTTAATTTAACTTAACCGTTGCAAATTATATTGTAGATACAGTAAATAAATAGAGTATGCAAAATAGCCAATTATCTGATTATTTATTTGTCAATGGTTGCAATGATAAATCCCAGGTCGTATTTAGGCACCAACAGTGACAGAAGACTAGCAAATGTTTGTTGTGTTCAAACTGACAAGATTCGTGTGTATTTCTTCTGAAACTTTATCTATTATATTGACTAACATTTAAAGTATATTGTGTTGTCACTTATCTTCATATATTGTCATTTTTCTATATCTTACAATTTACAAATGTATAACATGACAAATTTATATTGAGCAGAATCTGTTTTATGTGGTTAGTTTTATATAATTAATTATAATTAATTGATCTATTTTTAAATTTAAAGGTAAAAATATTATCTGTGTTAGTGTGTTCTCTTGACAGCTTATTTCATTATTTTATTTTTAGTGAAAGTTATAAACATAAAAGGTTTTAATATTTTACATATTTATAACTTACTTTAAAGTTAAAAGATAAAAAAAAAATTGAAAAAACTGTAGAGAAAACATTGATAATATTCTTACTTTAAAATTTGGTAATAGTTCATATCCTCTCTAGACTCTCAATTTTATGAATTTGATAGCTTTTTATCAAAAGCTAAAGTAATTTATAAAAAAAAGTTGTCTCAAATAACCAAGTGCCACAATTAGGCTGTTATTTTTATTTTCTCATTGTTTTTTTCTATTGTAGACTACTTCATGATTGTTATTATTAAAATAAAAATATAATTTTTTATAGGTGGAATCAAAGAAGAAAGATGTTAGTACAAAATCGTTACCAAGAAATTTAGGTAAGTTAATTTATTTTTACTATATTATATTTTTAACATTAATTTATTTAAGAGGACACTACCCACTTGTTTGTTGTCTTCGTTTTACAAACGTAAACCATAGCGAATTTTTGTTATTTAATTTCAATTGTGTGCTGTTTGTTTTGATATTAGAGCGAATCGACCTTCTATCTAACTTTTAGTTAAGAACATTATCTATGTTAGAGTATAAGCTTTTATTCGTTATTTTAATCACAATTATTCTGTGTTGTAATTTTCAAGAGAGAGCATTATTAATTTGTATTGGCTTTCATCGATACACATTAAATCCCACTCAATGGCACTGAGTAACACTAATAAGTAATAATCATTCATGAGTCATGACTAATGTATAGGTAGGCATCCTGTATTATATGGGAAACTACCGTTTTTCAAAAGTCTGTCCCATTGTCCCGAAATAAGCTTCTGGGACGCTAAATCATCCTGTTTTTTTTAAAAATATGTATATTTCCATCTACAGAAAAAGATGAAAAGAAAATTACGTAAAATTAAAAATATAATCTTCATCTATCTGTTTTAAATATTAATAAATATATTATGCATTCGTAGAATAATATTGCTATTACTATATTATTATGAAAACTAATTTGTATTTATCAAATTCAATTTTTTGAATATAAAGTTATTTTGGTCTTCGTCTTAACAGATCACAGCTCAAAGATAATAATATTAGACATAATATTATAGACTATAGTGCATTACTTGTATAAAGGTAAATGATTTCTCTTGTAATGTAGTTAATCTGTATGAAATGTTTATCATTTTTATATTTTGACAGTTAGCGCAGTTAATTATGAAGTATTTTATGAATTTGTGTTGGGAAATAACTAATAAGACACTTTTAACATGTACATTCATCCAAAAAATATTTGCCTTTATATTATTAATAGTTAATACTAAAAAATATTTATGATCTGTAAAATTATGATAAAAGACCCAAAAAAGATTATTTTAATTATTTTTGTAAGTTATCATTAAGACATTAAATATTTATTCATAATGAAAAAATCAAGCTTGGGAAAATTCCTGATAATTTTTACTGAGTTAAGTTAATAGTTTTATGGAAATTTACTATAAACTTACTTATTAACTTAAGTAAACTTATTATTATTTTTTTATATACATAAAGTCACAAATAGCCCAGTAATATAGTAAAAGGTAAATGTTTATGAAATATGCATCATCAATATTATAATATTGTGTTAGATTTAATATTTAATTATTTATAAATTAACATAACATGGATTTGATTAAAAGTAACTTATTATTTATTCAGTATATATATATTGATAAAAATCAGTTAAGTTAAAAATTAAATTAAAAAAGTTAAGTTAAAATGAACTTAACTTTAACTTTTCAACTCGTTTATGCCCAGGCTTGAAAAAAATGAAGTCCTGTATTTTGTATTTTATATCTGGACACCTTACATATAGCATATAGGTCCTGAGCGGTGATTGCAGGATTATAAATTACCTATTGTTGCCCCTTAAATAATACCCATAACGAGGTCCCTTAAGATATTAAATCAAATATTTACGAGTAAAATGTGAATCAGTTAATATGACATTTGAATAAACAAGTAAAAATATTACTTTCTCGTCATTCTGGTTTCTTCTTTTTTCTTTGCTATTTTTCTTTTTTTTAATGTTTAATATAAAAATAATAAAAGAAACTAACACATTTTCTAAATGCCATTGTATTACAAAATAAGAAAAAATCAAATGCTCAATAAAAATCAGATTAAAATGAAATAGATACAATTTGTACAAGAATTAAGTAACTACCAAATGAAAAAACTCATTTTCCATTAATTCTGAGCTATTAATAATAGAAAAATAATCATATTTAATTTTACAGAAATGAATATGGATCAAAAAAAGAAGAAACGAGTACAAGCTTTTGAATCAAAAAAGTCAATTCCTCACAAAGTTGAATCATCATCAACAAGTAGAATTTGTAATGATTCAAAATCGTTAAAAAGTTCAACAACACCAATAGATGTTTCGTTTGGTCTTAAGTCATTACCAAAAAAAAAACTGAGCTCAGTTGAACCATCAGGATTCCCAACAGGATCAAAATCAAATATTTTACTCAATGACAGATCCATTAATGTAATTCACAAAGAATCAGACACAATTTCAGCTCAAGAAATATCATTTGTATCGAGTCCCATGACTATATTACCAACAGTATCAAGTCATATTACTGTAGTGTCATTAGCACCTAGATATAAAACAATATTTTCATCTGCTGCTTTAAATACTGATTATCGGCTAGCATCTAAAAATTTAGAAAGATTTGAAGATCATAGTGTGAGCAAAGATATTAAATCTATACCTGTTATGCAATCAAAAAAAGATCATACAAAGTGTTTGGGAAAAAATGATTTTTCACTAAAAACATCTTTTAATAATATAAACAGTAAACCACCTAACTTGGTAAGGGTAAATTATAAATCAGAATTAAGTTCTTGTGATGCTGAAATGGAGAAGAATATAACGGTTGTAAAACATGTACATCGTAATTCAGTCTGTATAAAAGGCCCAGAGACCATTATTAAAAAAAAGGAACTGCCTCTAATAGCTGATTTAACAGAAAGAACATTTTCAAATGAACCTAATGTTTGTAATGAACCTCAGGATACTACTGCTGCATATTTTCAGAAAAAAACACAACGCTATGATGAATTAACTACAAATGTAGATACTTTGTCTAACTTAAAGGTATGATTTATATGTGACTAATCAAATTTACTAATAGAAAATCAATGTATATTGTCATACGACAGTGGCATGATTTTTGAGTACTAGGTAGTGTTACTACCTACTACAGTACTCCTACTATAAAAAAATTAAATCTTTTCAATCATATTAATTTTGCAAGAGCCATATCTAGTTTATGACTAGCTGAAATGTTTGGTATTTTTGGAACCTATATATAGGCCGTTCCTTGAGGATAAACCCGTTAGCCGTAGAGAGGAACTTGTCGGTTTTTTGCCGTTTTACCTATAAACTAAAAAAAATTATTAAATATTATGAAATTAATGAAAATAAAATGTTATGAAGTCAAAACTTTTAGAAAAATAAACTACAAAATTGATATTTTCAAATGTTTCAAAAATAACTTTTTGATCAAAAAATTTAATTAAACTAAAAAATAAAATATATGTAATCCTTGTCTCCGTGAGTCTAATAAAAAAAATAGGTTTATTCATTATCTCAGGAGTTTGCAATGGATAAATCCTCATGGGGCACCCTATATATATTGTATGTACCATAATATAGCATAAATATTTAAAACAATCAAGCATAATACAAAAATTCTAAAATGAAAAGTTTTATAATTATACTCAAAAATATTTTCAAATACAGAATTGTTTATATTATTTTAATTTCAAGTCTTAAATATTTGTTCCTATTTGTGAATGACTGTGATCCATCATCCAAGGTGGTTATGACAAATTGAATGTTGAAAATATTTGTTTTTATCCTGTGACCCACTTCCAAAATGATGAAAAAAACCTGGAAAAATTTATTTATAACTGAAATCATAAATCATGGTATTCTCATAGATTTTCATGCATAGCGTAATTGCTAACAATTTCCGCAAATTTTATTTTTGCACATTGCACCATTGTTTTTAAAATATGGTGAACCAATAAAGTGAGCTTTCACTGCATAATTAAATATGTAATATTTGGTATTCTAACTACTAAATATCAGTTATGCTATTTTATATAATTGTTGAGCTGTAATAGTAAAACTAAAAGCTAATAAAAAAAAAACTACTAAATATGAAAATTTGACATACCTATATAAACATTTATCTTGTAATTTGTGATTGTTTTTAGGTTGTATATCCTGTTAATAAATCGGTTTCATCATCTTCAAAAAAGTTCAATAATCAAGATCAGGTAAAAATATATTTATTATTAGTAAAAATGCCTTTTTATTAATTTTTTTAAAATCAAACTGGTATAGTGGTATCAGTGTTAATGTGTTATAAATATATGCTTAATTACCTATATACTCCATTAATTGCATAATCCATAAGAAGATAATATTATCTAATGCACTGAAGAACATTAAAAACGGTGTTAAAATGTTAATAAATATCTTTACGCTTCTTGTACATTGGATCTTGTCAAGTGTTTTTTAAGTATGTAGTTATTATTTTAGTTATGAAAATAATGGTTTTTATAATAGGTTTTCTCAATTTACCATTTTAAATTTTTATAACTAAAAAAATAACTATATATTTAAAAAACACATGTTAAAATCCAATGTACAAGAAGCTTAAAAGAGATCTTTTTTAAAATTATTATAACATTTTCAAAAAAATTTATCCATAACTTTTACCGAATTAGACTGCTTTTGGATCATTTTTTTTATAAATTAACGGCCTGGCCTTCCCCCTTATGGCCTTAACAGCAACCAGTTTTTGTCAAATATTATCTTATTTCTACTAAGTATCACTTGGTTACCGTTAAGACATGATACAAGATAACCTTCCCATTGTATTAAGTATAAATATGATAAGTTCAAATAATTTAGTATAATGATATTGATTTAGATTATAATATATTTGATAGTTAATTCATATCTTATTATATAGATGAATGATTTTTCATTTCAAGAAATAGATTATACTTCATCCTCAAGTTCTAAAGATATCAAATCTGCTAAGCGAAAACGACCTTCTTAAATACATGTATAATTAATTTTTACAACTTAATATTTTATTTTCCATACCATCTGAATACAATAAAGAATATCAAAATATTCTTATTAGTACCTATTTAATATTAGTTGTGAAATGAAATGTATAATATATAAATTAATTTTGCTGAAAATTGACTTTATTGTTGTGAGTACTTTTTTTTACGATAAGAAAAAACAGCTTTAATTGGTAATTGGTATGACCATTTCTGGTTATAATTAAAGTAACTATAATATTTATTAAACTTAGTACATACTATTATAAGATTTTAATACATAATTTACAATTTAGTTTTAGACTAGTTTGACAATTTTACATACATTAATTGTATAAACTAGTACCTCCTACCTATGTAACAAACTTGTTTTTTATGTATTTACAGGTAGCCTTTTATTATGAATTAAGTTTATTGGGAATGTGACAGTCTTGTTAAATATTTAAATACTTGTATTTATGTACTTTTTTGGTATTTCAAATACTTCTTTAAGTTTTAAAATACTTTCAAAATACATCTTTGTATTTTATTTCAGAATACTTAATATTTTTTTAAACCGTCTTATTTCAACAAACACATAATATTCTTCAAATAATATTTTATAATGCTTCTAAGAATTTTTAAGCTTTCATCAAATACGCAGATGACACAATACTTAAAATTAATATGTACCTTGCTGAAGTTTAACTTGACAATAAAATAGGTTTGTGACATCTGAAATGTTGAGCCAATTAAAAAATGTATTTACTAATTATTTTATTTAAATATTTGTATATTAATAAATTACAAAAAATACTTGAAAATACCTATTTTTAATACTTTTGAAATACAGTATTTGAATACGTATTCTGAATACATTTGAAAAGTATTCTTAACAAGACTGGAATGTAAATGTTTACATTTTTTCTGTATTAGTTTAAGTTAGAAAATTATGAAAACTTCAAATTAGATTAATTTGTTTTTATAAAATTTGTTCACCAATGTGCATGCTTACGGCTTGTCTTTAAGATATTGAGTTGAATGTAGTGTATCATATATATATTACAATTTGTGTATTAGCTAACAAAAATAAAATTATGATTTTTTTTAAGTAATTTATTATTTTGTGTAGTACCTACAGCATATTGTAAAAACATACCTATTATATAGGAACTGTGTCTTATGATGAATAGTATTTTATTATTAATACCAAAATTATTTCAACACAGACATTTAAATATAATCTATCTATTCAATATTTAAATTAAATTATAAAATTGTTGTTAACACCTATAGAATTATTCTAATTGAATATAATTTCCTCAGGCCTGATGAAATATCTATATTTTTATGTAAGTTAACAATTTTGCACCCAAGACACCAGATCATTTACAAATTGTGTCATTGTGATATACTTACTTAATTTGTATTGTATACATGTCTATATGAAAAATGAAAGTATTCATTCAACAAAAAAAGATAGGTACAACAGCCGTTATAATAAAACAAAATCATTGAATATCTAAGAGTTGAGAAAAATATGTCTACCACCATATACTAAAGTACCACAAAGAAGCACATTGAGAATATTATTTAGCCCAAGAAGTTATCAATGCTTAGGACAAAAAATATTTAAAGGCAGTTTGTGTGCGGTTGAACTTTCTGTTGATGAATCGACAGAATCATTGTTGACAGTATCTTAAACAAAATGGACATGGCTCAGCAAAAATTAAAAATAATCTATTTAAAAACCTATCATAAGTTCTTGTCTAATATCTTGTAGTTTTTTCTATAATAGTTTTGTTTTTATTAGTTTATAGTGAAAAAGAATAATCAATTGGCACTTTGACAGCTTTATCCAAACTGAAAAATTAAATATTGGAAAAGGAAGGAATGTACAAAGAGTGATAATCCAAATTAAAGACCATATAGCTAAATTGAAAAAACAAATGAAAATCTAAAATGCAATAAAGTAACTAGAAAAAAATACTACCTTTCAGACACCCTGGACACCCTGCCATAGGAAAATTGATTTTCTTAGAGGGGGGATGCGCAGAATTCATGCTTTCTCTCGTAGAACAGAGTATAGTACCTAATTTTATGTCAATCTTCTGATATTTGGATGTAATAAACTTGTAAAACGAATAGTAATGGGCCAGGACAAGGACTAAGGAGACATTCTACTCTCGTAAAAACATTTATTTAAATAATTTTAATTTTAAAAGTACATTATATGCATAGGTATAGTATTCAATTTTAATTTCATATTAAAAAAAAATCAATTTGAATAATAGTATATAATATTCAATATTAAAATGAACACTGTAAGCTAATAACCTTTGTAGTTGATGCTTAATCAATAAAGAAGAAGAAAAAATGTATGCAATTTTATTAAAATTGTTTATCTAGGCCAAATGAGTAAATTTCGTTTTTTTTTAGGGAATTGTAAGTAGATATTTCAAAAATTAAATTTGTTTGTACATAATAGAGGTTAGGTTAATTCCTCTGTATTCCCTCCTCCATACACAAATTATGTTTATGTCTCTGTGCCTTTTAATTAATCTGGCCCTAAAACCCGAAGGGTCGGACTGTCGGAGTGAAATACGTAGACCTGTACCCAAATTTGCAAGCCGCGGCATCTTTCTTTCACTCCAATTTGATTCTCCTGTTACTAAATTACATGTGTTGTTCCGTGCCACATGTTTCGATTTCATACTTGTTGGAACCATAGATGTCCATAGAGATAGAGCAACATTATCCTCTCGAAACATTAATTGAAATCGATCGGTGACGAGTGACGACTTTCGTCCTCTTGGCTCTTACTACAATGTAGCAGTAGGTTTGCTTAAAAAAACAAGAACTAATCATTGGTGGTGGATATTAAGTAGCCTATTTATGACGCCTAGTATTCGTGAATTAATTATTGAAAACATATTACCTAAATTATTACTTAATAAATAGGCTATTAATTATTTTAAATTATTTCCTAGATAATATAATATATCGTTTTAAAAGCACTCAGTGTTTAATTTTAATTTTTAGTAGGTTGTAGGTACCAGGAATTTCTAATTACATAACCAATACCGGCAGTACCTAAGTTACGGTTTGGCCGAACGCGAAATAAGTCAAATTATATTTTTAAATTATTATTTCTAAAAAATCACCTTCAAGCCTAATAAGTAATAAGTAATAACTATTTCAATTTCATCATCAAAGTTGAGTGTACTAGGTACATTATAACTTCTTTATGGAACTGGTATGGGACTTTTTAAATTTTATTCTGAGAAACATTATATATTTATCAGTATACGTCATTTTCAATTTACCATCAACTCAAAAAAAAATTATAGTTGTGCAAACCTACATCTATACTTATCATGTATCACAGTGTTTATCGGGTTCTTCTTTTGTCTTTTTATAGCCAAGAACATAGGCGTGCGCACGGGGGCAGCAGAGGCAGCGTATACTGCCCCTGGACTTTATTTGGGGCTACCGGGGCCGGAAAATATTAAATAATGGGCCTCGGTAAAATTATATTTCCACAAATGATTTTTTTTTTTTTTGGTCAAGTATAGATATGAATATTTTATGATTATAGAATTTATCAGTATAAAACTAATAAACCTGTCTATTATAAAAACTGTACAACGGTTTATCCAAATAAACAAATAATCAATACAACTTTAATTTTGATACCCAATAGCAAAAATAGTAAAACTATGGGCTGGGTTTAATAGTGAATTTGAAGAATGGGCCGAATTAATCTCTTGCTGCCCCTGAAACCGGAGTCTGCGCACGCCTATGGCCAAGAAGTAGGTATTTATTATTTTGTATAGTTTTAGTAGTCTTTTTAAACCAAATTTAAAATACAATAAATGTAGACGTATAGTTTACAAATTATAATGATGTCAAGGGTTAAATAATTACCTGAAATTGAAGATCCCGTTAAACTACTTTATTATATATTCTATTTTTTATCGTTTTTTATAGTTATGACATTCATATAATGACGTTTATTTTTGATACATTTAGATGAATATTTTATCCAAAGGTAATAACTGTAACTCATGACATCGGACGGTTTAATGATAAAAATGATTTTCAATATAAGACAATAGGTGTATTTAACAAACCAAACATATAACAACGTATCAGTGTCAAATTATATGGCCACTGGCTTTATAACCGGCTTTCGCAAGGGAGAAAATTAAAAAATATCAAGTACAGTGCTATTATATATGGATGTAGCCGTGTAGGTACCTCGGTTTCAAACTTATACCTCGGTTTTTTATTTTGCATTATTCGACCTATTTGGCTTACGGCAATTCACCAATCAGATGGAGCACTGTCTAGTGTCTACCTACTCTCTACACTTTACTGATATGTTACAGAATAATCTCCGAGATTTTTATCAAAATATATAGGGTATTTTTTTTAGTATATAAGTTAAAAACATAAGTACGTTTTGTTTTAAAATAAAAGATAAATAGTTAATTTAATCAAGGCCATGTAAACGCGATGACTTGATTTTTACCTCATCTGTCCGAGTAACCTATCACCAATGACAACCATTCATATTTTAATCCATATAATTCTATATTTTTTTAAATTTTATGTTTAACTTATCTATTGTTAACTTAAAAAAAACATTATTTAAATGGCGTTAATTTAAAAATAAATAAAAGCGAAAAAATATTATAGATTTGAAATTGAGATGTGAATTTCAAAATCCTTGTGAGAGCATCTATTTGAAGTGATTTCTTAGTGCGCCCCCGTAGATGCAACCAAGAACATTTTTCTGCATGGAGGCTAATATTGTATCAGCAGCACAAACCCTGATATTATAATGTATAATATTTAAAACTAAAATATGGTTAAAAACTGGGGGGCTAACCTAATCCCACCAATTGTGCGTATGTGCACCCTTACACCATGGTGGTACAAACTACTAAGGTATGACGGATATTTTAAGTCTCTAGCTATTATAGATTAGGCTCTTCACTGATCAGTCAGTCAGAACACGTTATATACTTATATATCAAGGGTGGCTCCCAGAGATATAGTTGGGAGGGGGGCTAGGACAAGTCACAATTTTCAGAAAACTTTCAATATTTTAATATGTTTTTTTTGTAATTTTGTTATTAACAATTATATACTATAATAATGGGCTTGAGGGGTATGTTATAACTTTTGACTCCAAGTGTTAACTGTTGAGTCTGTGCAACTAGCCACTAAACACACATAGCATTAAGTTACTGAAGCGTCAAAATAATAACTCAGAGATGCACCAGTAAATCTAGTATAAACTCAGCAACCAGTTTTAAATACAAACATTTATTCCCAAATTATTACTAGAAGAACTAAGTTTTAGTTACTTCTGGCATAAATTTAGTTTTATATCATGAGTTAAAATTAAAAAAAAACATTTAAGTAATAACAACAACAAATGGTAAACAAATTGCATGTTTTGCAAAAACAAAAATGTTATACAAATTATTTTATTGTGCAGCTTTTATTAATTGATAAATTGTATTTGCTCTGTTATTAGCATGACTAATGCAATTTTGAATTTGGATATCTTTTATGAATTCTCCGCCTAAAAATAAAAACGAACAATAGAATTATATTTTTGCTTTTAAATTTTAATCAACATGATTTATACTATGTAAATGAGATTAATTATGAACTGGCAGTATTTTTCAATTCAATATCAAGTTAAATATCTTATACAACTGGGATGAGATTCAATCAATATTTAGCATGATATTCAGCACTAAAATAAATTCAACTGAATAGTCATCAAATGATAATTATGCAATATTTTTGTTTTACACATAAATATGGTCTAATTAATAAAATGATAATTCTATAAAGTTTAACAATTATTTATTCAATTTTTAAATAAGCTGATGCTAAAAACAAATAGTAAAAACCTTGATCAATATAAGGAACCATTAGCTCACTATTGATTCATTAAATGTTTGCTTTTAAGTGATTGTTAATGTAATACAGCTAGAAATGTGTAATTGTACTGTACTCTAGCTGCTGTGCATAAAAGCCCTATCATAAATTAAATAAATAATGCTGTATTTTAATCTACGGAACTAGTGGCATTATAGTATACTCTAAAATATTTCAGTCACCATGAGAGTCGAGAGATATAATCTTGAAACCGTGTCATCTGTAAATACACAATAGTTGCATACTTTTGCTGTGAAGAGTATATGTAATATCATTGATTAAAAATACTATAGATTGCTCACTGCAGTATAAAATCCGTTACGCTGAGTTTACTATCGATCATGGTGTTGTTATCTAGAACGGACTGGGTGGAGTACCCTGGCTGACAGTAAATTTAGCACAACAGATTTTGTACCACATAGGACAATATACAGTACTTATAATCAATGGCAAAATGTTTATAAAAACTGAAAAATTATACTACCCACGAGTCCCGTATACTTATTAGTACCTATATAGGTAAATTATGCCAGGGATATGAATTTAAATTACTTCAAATAAATAATAACATTTGAAGACTCGAAGGTTTAAATTAATAAATTAAATATTTGAATTAACTTATAAATATGTGACTCACCAGGTTTGTGTAATGAAAATAATAAGGAACCATTGGTCACAACTGTCAATTTACTAACACATAATTGCTCTTCTTCTTCAGTTGGGTCAGCTAAAATGTATTTTTCATTAAATACCCCAAAAGTTGACGATACTGGTAAACTGTTAACTTTTAATGGAATGTAATTTTCAACTACAATTGTTTCTTCAGTTTCTTTGTCATATTTTACTTCTGGTATCTTAACTGCAATACAATTATTTAATTAATCAAAAACTATAGACATTAAAATACCTTAAAATGTATGTACCTGTTTGTAGTGCTGATAACAAGGCTATCAAACATGCATCTAAGACAGATCCATCATAGTTCAAACAATATATATCACATGACAAGATCCACACTAATTTATCAACAGAAATACACAATTGTTGTAGATCTAGTATTTTGCAATTATTACACACTTCATTAAGGAAGCTGGTAATTTGCATTGCTTCATCACATGGGATTCCAGGTCGAATCTTTTTAGAGCATAGGCTAGGTAGTTCAATATTTACTAAAAGATATCCAATATCTGGAGTTTCAGCTTTAGGAACACCTAGTTCCTAAAAAAACAAAGATACTTAATACAATTTAATTATAATTTAATAACCTATCTTACTGCTTTGATGCCACAAACAACAGCTGTATTCCCAACTTTGACTGCTGCCGATCCATCTGCTGTGTGTATTGTGCTTAAATTAAGTGACGCATCTCGGAAGTTCATTAATTCTCTACCATCGTTTCTTTTATTAAGCGCCTAAAGTAATTGTATTCAATATATGTACAAAAATAATTAATTTTACAAAATAAAAATAAACTTACAAGATATTCCTTTTTGTATGTGTCTTGTATATTTCTGAAAAAAAATAAATTGGACATATATTCACATATAACTGTAGAATGAGACATTCAGATATGAGTTTCTATTACCTATGTAACAGACTATTTATCAGGCTTATCAAACATCAATAGAATATCGTACTCACTTCTTGATGGAGTTCATTTCGAAAAAAAGTCCTGATATACAACTGATTGACGGAATTCAAATGCGGGAGAGGCACAATACAAAATATTAGGAGTTTTTAAAAGGACCATGATATAACTAGCCGGCCTCCACTTCACCACGCAGCTGTTATCACTTATTATCACATTTACAGCGTCCGAGCGTGGCATAGGGCACTTTTGTCAAAATTTTGTGTGGGTAAAAAAAACACCGGTGATCCCAACTTTGAGCACGTCGTTAGGTTGTATTATTATTTATTATTCCTTATATTTTGTTAGGTTATTTCCCATAGTCAAATTTGAGCGGCTCATTGCGGAATGACTTAATTTTTCATGTGAACGTGGATATCTCGTAGTTCATACTAATATAGGAACCATATTAGGTACCATGACAAAATTGTTTTCAGATAGAATTGTCTCTCATAATTTTGATTATTCTGTAACGTCTTGAGTTTTCATTTACTGTATGCGCAAGCCCTCAGCCGTTTTGGGACAGACTATCACCGTCTTGGATAGGCATATGAGAGGTGCTTAATATATGTACGCGAATGGGACGAGTCGATGTGTGATACTGTGATGCTGAATTTGCAGGTCACTTAGGAGTTAGGATGCTTGGCGTATGCCCGCGAGAACGAGTGCGAATAGGACAAGTCGGTGTGCGATCACGCTGCACTTATAGTGGCCGTTTAAACTGTCTAATTTTTGCCCTTCAGAACGGGTGTGAGCAGGCCCAACTAGAGGGGGGGGGGCACTCGGGTATTTGTCCCCGGGGCCCGGAAGAATAACTGTATCAATTTTATAGAAGCTTTTTCAAAATGGTGCAACGTACAAATAAATATCTGTACGTTGTATCAATATTGAAAATCCTTCTACCATCAATGATAAATTGGACAAATTATTTAAAGTTGTATATGACATGAAATCTACTCAAAACAAACTAATTACTTCATTCAATGCTTACCGTGATGAGAAGAAAAACCACGACAGTAAATTCACTGATATTGAAGGTAAATTAGATATTATTACCAAGCATTTTAATGACTTGCTTAATGAAAACAAAGCTTTGAAAAATCAAATTGAAATTATTTGTTCTAAGTTGGTTGTACTTGAAGCACGTAACTCTACTCCACCAGCAAATCATGAAGAAATCTTATCTGAAATTATAGACCGCCAAGCTAGAAGCCGTAATTTAATTTTATTTAACGTTCATGAAAACAAAACTGATTCTCTAAACGAAATTCAAGTAGTTTCTGAGTTATTCCGTCAAATTGGTGTTACCACTGTTCCATTAAATGTTCTCCGTCTTGGTAAGATTTCTAATAATTCTCGGCCTATCCGTGTTACACTACCAAATCAACATGATATTTTTAACGTACTAAAAAACAAATTTAAGTTACGTCAATCTGAAAACTTAAAACACATCAGTATATCTACAGATCGATCTTTAGGGCAACGTAAATATTTCAAAGTTGTGCTAGATGAGCTTAACACCAGAAAAGCTGCTGGTGAAAATGATATATTTATCAAATACAATAATAACATTCCGTTCATTTCAAAAAACTGCCGAAACTAAGACCAAGTTCCTATAATCTCAAGTTTTACTATCAAAATATTCGTGGCATAAACACTAAACTTGATGTTTTTAATAGAAATATTGCTCTGGTGGACTATGACATCATAATACTAACAGAAACCTGGCTTCATAATGAGGTCAATGACATTGAACTTGGTCTTATCCCAAAATACACAGTTTTTCGTTGCGACCGTGATAGTGTCATGGGCTGCATTATCAGAGGAGGTGGTGTGTTAATTGCGGTCAAGAATCACCTTCAATGTAATCGTATTCCACTTCAAAACAACAACATCGAGCAATTATTTATCAATCTTTCTATGGGTTCTTTCACTCTATTAATTGGATCGGTATATATTCCTCCTAATTCAAGTATTGATATTTATAATGACCATACTGATACTGTAAGCAATTTGTTAAATCTTTCGCATTACTCAAATGTTATTTTATTGGGTGACTATAATCTACCGGGTATTCACTGGTCCTTATTAAATAATAAAATTGTCCCTAATGTTTCTCAGTTTAATAATTTAATTGCCAATAACCTGGCTAATTTCTCTTACCTTAATCTTAATCAGTTCAATCTTGTTAAAAATCGATCAGATTCAATTCTCGATTTAGTTTTATCTAACGCTCATAATTTAGTTGTTCTTAATGAGCCTTTTTCTTTGTTACCGATTGATTATATGTATCACCCTGCATTAACTGTCACACTCCCAACCAATGTAAATCTAGAATCATTAAGTTATAATGAAATTGTATACGATTTTTTCAACTGTAATTATAATGTTATACGTTCATCATTAGCGATTATAGATTGGTCTCAAGTTTTTGATAAATTGTGCATAAACAATGCAGTTGATATTTTCTATAAAATTATATTTAAAATAATTGATGACAATTGTCTTAAAAAAAAACTTTTCACTTCTAAACATCCCTCTTGGTTTAGTCCTGTACTGAGAGACTTTGTTTTTAAAAAAAAAATAGCACATAAATTATATAAAACATCTCCTACACAATTAAATTATAATATATTCTCTGCACTTAGATCTAAATGTAGGGCCCTATCTAAAATTGATTATAATAAATACATTTCAGAAACTGAAAATTCACTATTATCTTGTCCCAAAAATTTTTGGCGATTTATTAAATCCAAACGCTCTTCTCAGTCTTTTCCTACCTCTATGTTTTATTTAAATCAGTCTATTAATGGAGGTGATCAAATAGTTGACTGTTTTTCTAAGCATTTTTCTAGTGTTTATGTCAACTCAATTACACCACCGTTAATCAATCACTCGCCATCTGATTCTATCACCAATTACTCCGATCTTAATTTATTTTCGTGTGTCTTAAATCTTACTGATGTTCTCCAGGAGTTAGATACGCTGAGTTCAAAAACTAATCCTGGCATTGACATGATTCCGAGTATTTTCTTTTCAAATTGTAAATTTGTATTAAGTGTCCCTTTATTATACCTTTATAACTTGTCATTATCATCGGGTTGTTTTCCATCCGCTTGGAAATCAAGTTTTATTATACCTATTTTTAAAGGCAATGATGTTACTAATATAATAAATTATAGGCCTATCTCATTAATTTCAATTATACCTAAGATTTTTGAATCAATGATTTCAAAAAAGATTACACCACTTCTCTTACCTTTAATAAGTTTGGATCAACATGGTTTTAATAAAGATAGATCAACAGCCACAAATCAGTTAATTTTTCAGAAATTTATACTTGATGCCTTTTCTCAAGGTTTACAAGTTGATGTTATTTTTACAGATTTCTCTAAAGCCTTTGATAAAGTAGATCACCAAATTCTTATCTCTAAACTCCATACTATTGGTATTAATGACCCCTTACTTTCTTGGATCTATTCTTATATTTCCGATAGAAAACAAATAGTCAAGTGTAAAAACTTTAAATCGATTCCTTTTACTGTATCATCTGGTGTTCCTCAAGGTTCTCACCTTTCACCAATTCTATTTCTATTATTTATAAATGATTTAAATTTGTTTTATTCTAGAAAATTACTATTCGCCGATGATATGAAATTGTTCCGTCTCATAAAAAACAGTAATGATACATCTTTATTACAAGATGATTTAAGTTTTTTAGCTAATTGGTGTGATATTAATAAATTACCTTTAAACTTCGAAAAGTGCAAAGTTATGTCATTCACGCGATCTCGTAATCCAATTACTCACACTTATAGTTTACGTAACCACCATTTACATCGTGTAAATGAATTTTGTGATCTTGGTGTCATATTCGAATCTGATTTAACCTTTAATCACCACATTCAACATATTATCAATAATTCATCTTCGATATTAGGCTTTATTACAAGAAACTGTAAAGACTTCAATAACCATAACACATTAAAAATTCTATTTATGTCCTTAGTTAGATCTAAGCTTGAATATAATTCAACAGTTTGGTCTCCTTATTTAAACACGCAAATTCAATGCATTGAGAATGTCCAAAATCGCTTTCTCCGTTTTATGTCCTATAAATGTAATATTATACGTGTACCTCACTCATCTTATCAACCTTTGTTGAACACATTTAACATCCAGAGCTTAGCAAACAGAAGAAAGGTAAATGATCTATTATTTTTGTTCAAACTACTTAACGGGTTTTTCTACTGTCCGGAGCTATTAAGTTTTTTAAATTTTTCTGTTCCTCAAGTCAGAACTAGATCATCAATCATAACTACTTTTTATATAAATAATCACAAAACTAATTATGCGTTATCCGCTCCTATAAATAGAATGATGGCTATCGCTAATGATGAACAAATTGATTTTTTTAATTTCTGTCCAAATTCTGTCGATTTTTTCAATAGTTTTGTAAGAAAAAAAAGTTATTAAATTTAATTCTGTTATTAATTTTACTACTGTATTGAGTTTTCGTATTTTTGAGTATTTTCTCCAATTGTTATTTTTATTATATTTCTGTGTTTTTTGTATTATTAGAATATTAAGTATTTTAGCTATTCATTAGGTAATTTATTTTTTCAAATGTTATTTATCAAATGTTATACCATACCTATATGTATTATGTACTAAATTTCAATCTTTTTTGTAATTGGGTTATTACCCGTAAATAAATAAATAAATAAATAAATAAATAAATATGTTATTACGTAATGAAATATGTAGGTACCCATGTATTTATTTATATTTTTCTATCTATTATCTTTCTCCCACGATACAAAATGAATTCATAGCTTTGTGTGGCAAACAAGTTGAAACCCGCATAGTTGATGAAATCAAGGTGGCAAAATATTATTCTATAATCGTTGATGCTACGCCAGATGCCGCTCACATCGAACAAAATGCTTTTATTAAATAGATGAAATCGTTCTATTGAAATCGATTCATTCTTCAAATATTGGACAACCTTTAGCGCCACTCGCTCTCTTGAATAAATTGAAGGAGCTCAAATTAAATAATTTGTTTCTGAATGTGTGTATCGTCTTACGAATTTTCCTAACGCTGCCCGTAACGGTAGCGAGTGCCGAGCGCTCATTAAGTGTTCTAGCTCGAATAAAAAATCATTACAGGTCCACCATGGGCCAGAAAAGATTAAACGGTCTTTCTATTTTGGCTATCGAAAGTAAAACGGCGAGAACAATCAATTACGATGATATAATTGAAGATTTTGCACAACAAAAGGCGCGAAAAGCGAATTTTTGAAATTTTAATTAATAAAAAGTAATATAATATATAATAGTAATATATAATAGTAATATAATAGTAATATAAGACAATGTCAAAAATATGTCGATTCCTATTTTTTTAAATTTCATTTTAACTATTTCCGATGTTCTATACTTATTTTTCCTAAATAAAAATACTGAGTTTTTGATTTTTACTTTTTATACATGATATTTTTAAAAACAGGGGCCCGCGAAAAACCTTGCCGCGGGGCCCGACGTGGCTCTCGACGGCCCTGGGTGTGAGTGGGATGGGAATACTCGTGACTTGGGCGAATTTAATAGGTATACTTCGACTTCGTATGCCATAGAAAATGGATATCCTCATTCCCGCAATAGTAGCCGTATTATAGAGTTTTCGAATAACGAAATAAAATATGATTTTTCAAAACTTTTTTATCAAAACATTAAATAAATTTGAAATATGATAAAATTGTAGTCCTTGTTCCCTTGAGTCATAAAAAAACAAAACTAGGAAATCTCTATTATTCTAGGAGATATCGCAATATGCAAATCCTCATGGGACATCTGTTTATGTACATGAAATTATAATAGTTATGTTTCCATTGTTTCTAAAGTGAATAAAATGAAGTATCTTAATAATTTTTTGTTCCTTGGTTTAATGTGCATCCTCATATCTTTTTAGTTTTTTTTCAACAGATTTATTACTGCAGTCGTTTTGTGATTACATTATACGTTAAATGTTTAAACACACCAATAATGAAGATCTGTATATAATTTGTACCTATCGTTTAAGCATAATGCATAATAAAAATATCATTTTTATTGTAGAAAAAGTTGTTGACACTGATTCTCAGAATTTTGTTAAGATATTGTTGTATTTGACACAATGGATAGACCACGGTCTTGGGGATATTATGTCAAACTTAATAATCTAGGACCTTGGGTACACATCTGAGTACCTGACAACTAGTAAAATGTGTTAAAGCTGATCATATCAGCATAATAAAATAGTTATTGATAGAAATTAAATAAAAAGTTGAGTAAATTGATTATAGTTATCAACAACACGAATGGTATTTGTTTATAACTATTAACTGTATAGGCTTATTCAGCTACACCTGCAAAAGGGAATGTACGTGAAAAATATTCTCAGTAAAGTACTAAAATAAAATAGGTAAACTAGGGTTTGTAAATAGGTAAATAAATAATTAAAATTAATCAAGCCAAATCAATTATTAGAAATATTTTTATTATAGTTATATTAACATTGGATGATTTTAAATTATAATTGAACAGTAGAAATTGTGTATTATGACGTTCAAGGGCCCAGGGTCATAATAACTAATAGCTAGCATTGATTTATAATCAATGATAATAGGTACCTAGTCCGTAGTCATCACTCATTTGATAACAGTACGTTATAATATGATCTTAGCTGTGTAAATGTGCAACTCGACTTCGTCCGGAAAAAAATAAACAATTAGTATAAAATACGGGGTACCTATATGTACTTATAACGGTGTATCTCTGTTTGTAATGTAGGTACGAGGTACCACCGTGACACCGTACAGATATAGACATAGTGGTTCAAACTACTATCTTAACTTTTTTATATCTTTATAAACGTTGAAGTTTTAATTTTTGTCAAAATCGGTTAACTAGTTTTTGAGTGTACAAGCAACGAAAAAACATAGAGAAGAATTATTTTGTAAATAAACTCGTATGTATATAATATACCAAATAGAACAGAATATTTCAGAACAATTTACCTTTCTACTCCAACCTTCTTCTAAAACATTTATGATTTATCAATTTTCATTATTTTATCAACCTTGTTAATGGATATCCAATGCGTCTAAAGTGAAGATGCCATCACGATTTACTAAATTAATTATGTATTTTAATTTCATACAAAATAATATGTTTCATCCACATATTTTATCACATACAATACAAAATATTTTATAAATCATTTAATAATATGAAAAGGTCACATAATATAAGGTCATTATGATTTCTATATAAGGACTTTTCCAATACCCAATAAAAATGTATTTTACATTTTTACTCCCTATTATACCACAAGTTATATTGTATTTAGTATATTTAAATAAACTACCTATATAAAGATGAAGAATAAAAGATATATTTTCAAAAACAATAAGTTTTTTAAAAGAAATACATTTTTATATTTGAATATTAGATTCCGAGGGATGAATGTATTTTTAAATTAAACATACACTTTTCTTGAGGGGATTACTGTTTTTCAGGAGTTCGATATAGGCAAATTATATGTACATTCGGGCCCTGTAAATGTGTGCGTATGGCTACTGGCTAGTAAGTGATCACTTTACACACTAATTACAAATTTACCTATGTGGCTATGTATTTTTTTAATTTTCAATTTAAATTTTTAAGAATTGTTCTTTTTTTTTCCAGTATTCTTATTATATACCGAGTTCTATTCTATTGTATCTCCACTTAACACATTTTCTTATTGTTCTAAATATATAAAAAGTGGGTAATTGGATGTCATTCTGTTGTACAGTAGGTTACCAGTGGGTCACTTCAATTTTCTCAGGAACCAACTTATGATTTAACGAGTTTAATAATTTATCTTAAGTATAGAGTATAATGTATTACATATTAGTTATTTTGTATTACTTTATAACTAGTATAACTGCATCATAGTGGATGAAAACATAGGTCGATATTAAAAACTGCTCTACTTCATTTTTCTCTTTCTGATTATCTCGGCATCGTCCTTTCTTTTAGTTTCCATTTAAAACAACTAATAGTTAATAGGCCTAATAATTAGGGATTTAAATTTTAAATTCAACAAAAACAAGACGAATGTCCAAAAAAATTCGATTTTATGCTACTGCATATTTATAACAAAAACCTAATAAAATGCCTAGATAAATTAAAAGCCAATTTAAATGAATATAAAATAAAATTTAGATGGGAACCTAGCTATAATATACTCGCTGTATTTTGGGTTTCATTATAATTTATAGCATTGGACAGTTAGATGATTTTCAAATAAAAAGATTCGACAGTTATGATTAGCAAATGTTGTTTTGTACAACTTAAGTCAAAGAAGCGAACATAATACGTAATTAACATAGAAATAATATTAGTAAAAAATTATATTTCATTTTTCAAAAAGAAATTTAAGCTATAAGATTTTATAAAATTGTTTTTTTTTCTTACAAAATGCCTTCAAATCATAAAAATGTTCTAAAAATCAAAAAAGTTTTAAAAAATGCAAAACAAAAATTTTATTTTTCAATTCATTGAAGTATGAAACGAAATATTTGTTAGGAAAAAAATGTTTTAGACGATTCAGAAAAAAATGCATTTTGTTTTTAAATCCACGCTCTAGTTAAAAATAATAATTTTTGATGATGCATAAAATATGTATAAACAATTAACAATTTTAAAATACTCATAACTAGGTTTTAAATTAAAATATAATAAAAAGTTTAGGAGATTCCCTAGATAATAATATTAATTTTTAATTTTATAAGAGGTTAATTCAGTCTAACTTTTAAACTAACCGCGATAAAGGTGATCTGTTGAGCATAAAATGTGTCATGTTACGCGCTTGTAAACCACAAATGGAAGTGTCCTAATAAATAATAATTCAAACTATATCAAGTTTTTATCAAAACGACATTACTGACAACAAAAATTAAAGAGCTTACTACCAATGGTTCAATTTAAAAAATGTAATTCATGAATTTACTAAAATTGAATAGTGCTCTGATAGTCTGATCAATGCAAAGTAATATATTGTTTATGAGTTCAAACATTACATTACATTTTTTAATCGGGTTATTGAAAGTATTTACAAGTTATAATTTTGTCAGGCATATAGCTGTTTCAAATCCATACATTTATTTTGGATGTTTTGATCTAATAACTACTTGAAATGTGCATGATATTGTGTAAAATATAGGATGCGGGTGATTGGTGGGAACTATACAGCACACTCAATAATATGATAATTTAGGACATTTAGGTACTACACACAAAAACGAGCAGTCACCTCAAGGAACGAAATAATTTCCTAAACTCAATTCTTTCAAAATAAAATTTTTGAGGGGCCTTATTATAAACAATTAACTATAACATAGTATACATATGTAATATTATTATTATTATTATGAAAATTATGTTTTAGTAATAAATTTATCATAATTGCCAGAGTTGCGCAAAATTTTATCTAGGTAATTATTCGGATGATTTTTTTACAATTATTTGAATAATTTGAAAACATTATGATTATTCGAATAAAATGAGTATATAGAATAATTTTCAAACATAATATTATTATAAAATATACACCATATAATGTTTATAATAATTCTTCTAGTACGTCTACATGTATGTAGTATGTATATTGTACCTGTACTTCAGTAGTAACAGGGGTACGACACTCACAAATCCTAATGCTATTGTTCTATGGTAGTAACTATGTATCAACATTGAAGAAGTTATTATTGTAAATAGGTAGCCCAGTCTTAGTACTATAATCTCAGCCATTTAATTATAATTAATTACTATTACCACAGATTATATTAAACAATAATATAAAAAAATATAAGTATAATACAATAATCTATTAAAATTTAATATAATCTATGCTATTACCATTGATTAAATACAAATGCTATTACTATTATTAGAATTATTTATTCAAAATTTGTTATAATTACTTATTTTCACTTTTGTTATTATTATTTACCTACTGTTATATTTTATTACAGTTATAATTATTACAAAATAGTATTATTAATTATTAATGTTTAAATAATTTTTTTATATATTTTTTTTTATTTCATAAAAGTACATACACAATCTATTCAATTTTATACAATAAGCATATAAGATAAGGGTTACATAACATGGATTTCTTGAGTAAAAAGTCACCTATTAGTGGCACTCGGCTTGGTGTTTTATTTAGGATAATTGAGGAGAGATATTTAATTTAAATGGTCACGACACCAATTTCTTTCGAATATACTTTGTGGATTTCCAGGTAGGGAGAAGGTATGTAGCCCTTTTATTAGTGGGTTAGGGTGATTTTCTAATCTGTCAAAAAAAAGTTCTTAAAATAGTTTCGCTTCAGCTAAAATAGCTAGGTTGAATACCTAGATCTTTAAGAGAGTTAAATGAGTGATAAAGAAGGGAGTGTTAGGGATTTTTTTTAGAGTAATATTCTGAAAGACTTGAATTTCGTTTAAGTTGGATTTTATGGCCAATCCTCAGAGTTGTAATCCATATGTCCATATATAGGCTTTAGGAGAGTTTTGTTTATTAGTAGTTTGGTTTTTAAGCTTGTAAATTTATATTTTGATAAGTGTTTTTAAGGATCTTGATCAAGCGTTAATTATCAATCTTTTAGCTCTTATATAGTTCCAAGTAAATTTTTTGGTCGAGAATTAATCTTAAATATTTAACGGCATCATTGACGGGTGGGTAGGTATGTTATTAATTGAAACATTTGGATAGTGACCGTGTCAGAGGGTAAACGTTGTATGAGCCGATTTGTTATGATTCATATTTTAATATTTTAAAATTATTAAAATTATTAAAATATGATTAAAAAAAACATATCTAATTTTTTACTTTCTGCCATAAATAAATATTTATTTTATTTATAACAATTTTACATTCATTTCGAATAAAATAAGATTTACACGCTTAAATACAATGCCAATTGTACCCACAGAGTTATTGTGTTTGATATGTGATATTTTTAAATTATCAACCATGTTTACCATAGGCGCCCATTGGGGGGGGGGGGGGGGCAAGACAGGACACTTGCCCTCCCCCTGGAAAAAATATTATGAACTTGTAGCTCAATAAATATTACCACAATATTATTTTATTACCGACATTTTTTATTTCGACCCCTCCTAAAATGTTACCTATGGGCGCCCATGATGTTTACTCAAATACAATAACCGAAAATTATTCAAATAACTATGTTTGAAATTTAGTTGTACTATTATTTACTCGAATAATCGTTGTTGAAATTTATTCGAAAAATAAAATTGTGAAAAAATCATCCGAATAAAATGACTAAATAATCTTCTAAATAAATATTCATTCGAATAACGCCCTACACTGATAATTACTCTCTGATTTATAACCAATATCTACCAATTTGATGATACTATTTAAAATTTGGGGGTGCTAAGCATAGATATTGAAGATATCTTTAATGTCCATGGTGATAAGCACCCCCATGCACCCCCTCCCACCAATTTACCGTGGCGTCACAGAATTATAGCAATATTCATAAATTCATTGGACTTTAATAAAACTCGTTATCGACGAAAAAAATGTTGACAGTGTAACCAACTCGACGGTAATTGGTAAGTCGGTAGCACCGTAACGGTTACGCGTTGCCGGCGGTCGGCCGAGCCGAGTACTACAGCAGCTGCACCTGTCATTTGAAAAAAAAATAACGGTTACGATTTTGCGATCATTTGTGAATTGTTTGTCGCGAGTCTTTTCCATTACAGGCGGTCGGGTCGCGCACCGTTTAATCCCGTCGTCCGTTCAAACAGTTCGATCCTATCGATTATTAATAATTATTAATATCTAGCCAATATCTAGTTATTACGCAATTATTAGAACGTTTATCACCAATACAAATCATTTTGTTACGTAAGTTTTATTTCCTATTCACATTAATCTCGCTCGATTATTAGTGCGTTCATCGTAAAATATCATTAATTACCAATATAATTCGCGAATTTTTTGTTTTCAATTTTTTTACGACTGAAAACACGATAAAAAATATTGTTACTTATAACATATTATAATATCGAATAACGTTCTCGCTCGAATGACAGCTTTCATATCCTGACGACAACCGACCAACGCCGTCGCCGTGAAAATCAGTGACATCAATAATAATAATAACAGTATCGAATATCATCATTATTCGTTATTATTACATATTGCGGTGATCAAAGGGAACGACGAGAGATGGAGTTCACAGTTTTTCGGGATCAAGAAAATGCCAACAATGTTATGCGCAACAAGGAGAATAATGTTGCTTCAAGGGACCAGCAGCCCTCCAAACGACGATCGGTGCTCGGCGTGTTGAACGCCAAACAACCCTTTACCAAAAAGCCGCAGCCAAAATCCAAGGTGTGTATATTATTATAATAATATTTTATTATATTGTTACAAGTAGTAATAACACTGGCCGAGTTTGACGATATTCGGTTCTCTTTTATTACAAAACTTATTTTCGATTTAGCTAATCATGATAAATTACGAGGGTAGTATTCATCATAAGGTAAAGTGTAATACCTATGTGCAGTGTTTTTGTCGTTTACGTGGGTGAAGTTATTTTTGACCATGGCCTACGATTATTGTGTTTTTAACATTGTGATAAATCAGAGCCATTGCTTTATAAAAGGTATGTTGAAAAATCCATTGTGGGATTTCCTCAGTAAATATATATATTTTTAATATATTTAAATAACTGGATGTTGTTTGTGTCCGATACTGCCATCATTACCTAACCTACTCGGTGATCAAACTGCATCATTTACTTTTCTCATCAATTCAATTGACCATTTACATCATTTTGGCTTTTAATCAATTTTTTCAACAATCCAGCAAAAATTCTGTTCTACTTACCTAAATTAAATATTTCTATAATATTCTTAATTTATTAATTAGGTAATTTGGTATTTGACTTAATTGTACAGCCATTTATGCATATAGCATGCTTATCTAAAATTACCCATGTTGTGATTATAATGATTGTGTGCGACCAGTAATTGGTCTCATTAAATTTAAAAAATAATTAGTACTGGCAGGTAGGTGAAATTTGATGTGAAATATCTACCCATACAATTATAAGTTCATAGTTATTGATACTTTATGAATATCTAATATAGTGATTGATTTTAAAATGTTCTTAAAATTTAAAATTGGGTCATGTATATGAAAATTCATAGTATTTTATTTGGATTTTATGAAAACTAGGTATTTTTTTGTTTAAAATATATAACTTTATTGATTTTTATAACTTACCTACTTAATTACATTTTTAATCAATTTTACTCAGTTTTAAAGTATTAGCTATAATTTTTTGGTAGGCACTATTTATTTTTTAAAATTATCTAAATTTATATTCATCATTTTTAAAATATTTTTTCTTCACTTTATTATACATTGGAATCAGTTATCTAGCTCTAAATGTATTGAACATTGTATTGTACTACTACCGCTAACCCTTTTATAATTTAAAAAAATTATAATTAAATTGCAATAATCATTCTTGAGGATTTAATATAAGTGTATTGACTGGTGCATAGAAAAAAAGAAGTACCTACAACATTTTGATAATTCACGGGATGTACCTATATATTTTTCTAGAATAACCAATGGTATTCAATTATTTCTGTACAGACTATAATATCTACCTGATAATTTATAGGTGTTTTATTAATGTTTATTAATTTAATATTATACTATTTTAGCAAGTTAGTTTAGTAAATTAAACATGGTACTTAGTTAAAAAAATAAATAAAAATAATAATTAGTACTTATAGCAATGATATGTACATTGTAAGACAATGCATAGTAGTATATTAATATAACTATTTTATTTTAGCCTCAAGGAACCAATAAATTTGGTTTTCCGAATAAATCATCAGTGCCATTTACAATTCATGAAGATCCACAAGTAAATAAAAAAGCTGCTGCTAGTGAAAACTTGTCAAGAAACAATGTGGAAAATCAGAAGCCTCTGCTACTCAAGAATGAATCTAATATTAATGAAGCAAAGGTAATAACTAATAATATATTATAATTGCCTAATTTATAGATGTTATATTATTTTTGTTACATTCTAATTTATTTGTTCAACAGGTCACTCAACCCAAGATAGAATTATTGAAAGAGAAAAGACAACCATTATCTGATGTAAGCCAAACTGTTCCAACATTTGTAAAAAATGAAGAAAAAATAGATGAAAAAGACATTAAGGATATTGATAATTTGGCAGATTCAAGCAATGTATACTCGCCTATGTCCATTGATAATGATAGGTCTATACAAAGTACTTGTCATTCTTTGACCGCACATAGATTAAGTTGTGATGTAGACACTTACACGTGCGAGTTATACTATTATCTCAGGGATGTCGAGGTAATGGAAAATGTGTTATTCAGTTTTTATTGATATTTTTACTTATCAGATATTTTTTTGATTTATAGAAATTACATCGTCCTAAACCAGGATATATGAGAAGGCAGCCAGATGTAACATACAGTATGAGAGCAATATTAGTGGATTGGTTGGTTGAAGTAGCACAAGAATACAAGCTACAAAATGAAACTCTGTACCTAGCTGTTTCATTTATTGATCGTTTTCTTAGTTTAATGTCAGTGGTCCGTGCTAAACTCCAATTGTTGGGTACTGCTGCCATGTTTGTTGCGTCGTAAGTTTTTAGTTTTTTCTTATAAAGTAATGTCTGTAGTATTTTTAGTTTTTATTTTTTTTAATTTTTTTCAATAGGAAATATGAAGAAATTTATCCTCCAGACGTTAGTGAATTTGTTTATATAACCGATGATACTTACACAAAGAAACAAGTACTTAAAATGGAACAGTTAATATTGAAAGTTTTAGGGTTTGATGTATCAAATCCTACTACTGTTATTTTCTTAACCCACATTTGTGTTCATTGTAATGTTCCGTTGAAAGTTATGTACTTAGCTATGGTAAGTTTTGATATGTGTACAATCTATATTTCCCTGTTTTAGAATAACTTTAATAATAATAAAAATGACTTGTTTGTTTCTAGTATTTGGGTGAAATGAGTTTACTAGAGGCGGACCCCTACTTATCATATACACCTTCCATGATTGGCTGTGGAGCTGTTGCATTAGCTAGATTAATATTAGAATATGAAGTTATTTGGCCTGAAAATATGGCTGAATTAACTAATTACAGTTTAAATGATCTGATACCTGTCCTTAAACATTTAAACCACACATATAAAACCGCTCCACATTCCCAACAATCTGCCATTCGGTCAAAGTACAAGTCTGCCAGGTATGTCAATGTGTTATTTATTGTGTTAAATATTTATAAAAACTAATTGATGTTTAAAATTTTATTTTTGAAGGTACATTTATTTTGTGTTTAAAACATTTATTTGGGTTATTTAGTAAATTAAATATATTCTGCACTAAATTCATTATTAAATATACTATTACCCAAACTTCTCCCAACCTGACGACCAAGAAATATATTAAAATAATAACAATTGTACATGTTCAGAATTATGACATCGGTATCATTTACCTGAGTGTATGAACAGTTATTGATGGTCTTCAATTTTAATTCAATATAATATTAGTTCCGATCAAAAATCCAAACCAACAATTTAATTTTAAATTTAGTTACTTGAAATGTTTTTTTTACTAAATAGTAACAAGTATAATCAAATAAATAATACAATTTTAATTTATTTTATACATTTTTTTTTGATGAATATTATTTAATTTCAAAATTTAAATACCAAGTACAATATGTGGGATTTGCTTAAATATTAACGCTAACTATATAAAATGTATCTGCTGATACGCGGTTATAAAACCATAGTCAACATGTGTATATGTGTGTGTGTGGCGTCTTAATATTTTTTCATTAAATAATTGAAAAAATTTAATTTTTCCTTTTTATTTCAGGTATCATAGTGTGTCTGAAATTGAGTACAATGACTTGATTGTGCCTGAAGAAACTGCTCAAAAAGAAATGGCAGAGAGACTCAAGTTGGTTGATGTTAAAGACAAGTCATGATTCTATCGTTATTTATTTATGTTTACGATTTTTTTAATTATTATTATTTTTTTATTAATTTTTTGTAGTAAACAAAACATTTTTTGACACTTTTTTAAACGATCTATTTTTAAGTAAAAAGAACAAAATAAAGTTCAAAACGAACCATACAACTGGAGATGTTTTTTATGTTGCGCTTATAAGAATCACGCGTTAATTAAACATTTTTACATTCATAATTATTTATTTTTTTTTCTACTTAATATATTTAAATTTAAAAACTATTTTTTTACTCTAATTTAATTTTAAAATATTTGTGTTTTTCATTTGTTGCCGTTTAGAAGAACAGGTATATATGCACTTGTTGAAATAAGAAAATGTTTATCTCATAAAAATATTATATTAGTATGCATAACATTTATCATTATTTTTTTTATATAAAATTTTTAAGATTGAAAATTCATATTTTTATTAACAAATTACCATTGCAAAATTTTGTTATGTAATTATTATGACTTACCCACATCAAATAAAAAAAATAACACAATATTATTTGGGTCGATTCTGATTTATTAGTTGTTTTAATGGCTTTTCTGTAGAACCAATAATCTTAATCATCCTAGAAAACCTAAACCCTAAACACAGCTGGCAATTTTTTATTAATGTTGCATACCGAGAACAAATAATTTCTCAATTATTATTTCTATATTATAAATAAGGTCCGTTTAGGTAAATGTGATGACTTGTACTTTTCATTATTTAAAACTTCTTATTTGACCTAGACTGGAGTCTAGAGAATAATATTTTAAAACCCACGGGATGATTGTGTTTTCATTGATACAAGAATACATCTTAAATTTGTTGTATCTTGGATATTCCATGTATTATAATATTACCTATCATTCTTTAAACTGCAGCTGGTAGATTATCTATTATCTGGTTATAACTTATAACTATAGTAGTGGCATTTCTGTGTAGATAATAGATGGCAGATGTCAAGCATTCCTATAATCTTGCAATCTTGCACTAAGGTTGAATAATCCAGTTAGGAATTGAAAAGCTTTCTTCGTGTTTAGCATAATGTGAGTATTTCATAATCGAGAATGGTTTTTTATACTTTTTTTCCTGTTAGAATCTATTAAATTTTTAAATTTCAATCTAAAAATTTTTTCATACACAGTGAAAATTTCAAAATATTATGGCATTTGACAAATTTTAAGCTATTTATATACATTTTAAATTTTCAATAGGTTTTTTTTCTATACCTAACTAAATGTAATAGTTTATATGCTAAGTCAAAATGTTGAAAAATTAATACATACAAGGTTCCTCATAACTCAAATTATTCCTTTAGAATTCAAAAACAATAAAGTTATTGTTATTTATTTTATTTTGATGTGTTATTTTTATCAATATTTATAGGTAAATTTAAAATGTTGACAATATTGGATATTTAAGCCATAAATCAATATTTTTTTCTTACAATTTTAGTATTTTTATTGTTATTTCTTCAAACGATCAAACGTTATTGGAACTTAAATACTTTTGGAATTAATTTTATGTTCAAATATTTAGACTAATTTTAAGGTATTTATACATTATACTGCAAACTTGTTGGCTACCACCATTCTACGACAAGTGGTGGTGAATTTTGAACAATAATAACAATATGTGTGATAAACATAAAAATTATTTTTAAAAATGTCTTCAATATCGTTTATAAATTCTCCATATTATTAAAGAACAAATTCATTTTTCTAAATCTAAGAGGAATAGATTATTTTAAACCAAATAAGTGTTGGGGAGAAGAATGGTGATTTACTCATAAGGGGGGGGGGGAGGAGGATCCTCACCGTGTCGTGTCGTTTTCCATAAATAATATATATTTGATACATAGATTAAGTGTGACCAACATTTTTTTTTAGTTTTTAAATTTAAAATCATCAATTTAAAATACATGGAAAGTATTCAAATACCTGCATACACAACATGACAGCACAAATTGCAGATTTTTAAAGCACAATAAAATAAATACGATAACATGTTTTATTTGAAATAATTTCTACTTATATTATAATATCTGTTTTTGAGCACACAATTGTACAGTTCCTGAAAAACCATTTTATATTTTATTGCTCATACTTACCTGTCTTGGAGGTCAACCGTGATCACTTCGGCGGTTCCTTCAGAGTGAGGCCGGTTCATTGCTCATGGAATCGGTTGAAAAAAAAAATTTTTTATTGCTCTAGAGACTAGACTATGTCCTCACTTGAGTTTAATAATTGAAACATACGGTGTACACTGTGTAGTGTATATGCAATAGCCAATAGAGGTACACATTTTATACAATATTTAAAGGATAATATATTATTAGGTACAATATTTATTATTATTATTTATCATTGATTTATAATATATATTATAGGTATTTTTATTGCATTTTTAGTAGCATTTTCTTGCACAACGTTTGTCTACAATTATTCCACTACGTTTTTCTGAAAGACCATTTCACAAAAACCAAAATCTCGAATTTATTTTCTGAAAAAACCTATTTAATAATAATTTTGTAGGTATTAATTTAAATAATTGTTCTTAATATTTTTTAACATTTTTATAAATGTTCGACAAAAATGACGGAAAATGATATCGATCAATAAAATATGATTCAAGTAGGTAATACAATTATTATTATAATATTATTAGGTACCTATATCATATTATGCATCCTATAATATACATATACTATTTACCTAAATTAAGCCTACTATTGACTATAATGGTATATAGATTCATAATCTGATAATGACATTATTAAATAACCTTAAAATTAATTTAAGATTTATGTTTTTGTGAAATAGTTTTTCGAGAAATGGTCTTCCCTGAAAATGGATTCGGGGTTTTGGTTTTTCGGGAAATTGGTCATTTGGGATAACATTGAGTATCCGTGTCAACACATCCGAGTCGCAATCAGATTGCTGCCCAGAATGCCACCGGAAATCGCATAATCATTTCACATTTCGGGGCATGGGAACATTATTGGATATAGCCGTCGCGTAAACACATTGTACGGTGATAAAGCAGCTGGGATTCAGTCCTTCGGTTATTTTAATTAAATCCATTAATTAATTTACTAAACTTTGGACGGCGAGTTCGTGGATGGCAGCTATGAAATCCGCGATTCGACCACCAATAGTTTCAGAGGAAAAAAACTGTCAACCATCAACTTGATGATTTCGGGACATCGGGATTTATTCGTAAAAATATTACTACAGCGATTTAAATTTGAGAAATAAGTTTTGTGAGTGTCAAGAGTGAAACCGACGTTTTAGATGATATAGAAAACAAATAAATGTTTAAAACAGATGTTTCGAAAGACATTGAAATCATATTGTTCTTTAACAATATTAATAGGTATTCGTTCTAAATCACTGCGCAAAACGATTGAAGGCATCCTAAATTAACGATGATGTACACCTACACATTTATGTTGCATAATATCATGCAATATGTCAATATATAACAACATAAGGTATTAATGTTATGTTTAGTGGTTATATTTTGGCGCGATGTCAATTTTAACTCCACACGATACACTTGCAATTTGCAATAATGAGTTATGACACAGCAGTGATTACCACGATTTTTTTTATTCTGTTAAATTTTTTATCAAGTACCTATGATTCCCGCCATTACCAAAAAATAAAATATAGCTATAGGCAATTATTTGGAGATGTTTTAAGATCTCGTAAAAAGCGTTCATACTTTTAAAAATACAATTTTTTTTTTAGGAAGGTCGTTTGCATGGAATATTTAAAATCAGTCAAGCAGTTGATTTTTCAGCCAATATTTAGTTTTCTGATAAAATATGTAGGTAGGTACAATAAAATATTTCCTGAATATTGTGTCCGAAACTCCGAAAACTTATTTGTTGAGCCAAAAAAAACTTATCGAATACGACTATAAGTATTATGTATAATATTATTAAATGATTACAGTGCAGTTGTTTATTATTTGCTTATCGTTTTCAATATGTCGAGTATGTTGATGTGTAGTCAGAACTCAGAAAGTGTCGTATGCTATATTGGGGTTAATAGCAGCGTTATCGCTGCGTGAAAAGTACTTACTCCGCCTTGCATTTGGCATCAATCTTCCTTTTGTATAATACTGTATACAGGGTAATTCACCTAGTATGCTCNCCCCCCCATCATTATATTATATATTATCATATTTATCTATACGAATTTGTAGATTTTTTGAACTTATAAATATACGTAGGTAGGTGCTATTATGTGTTTTTGAGTATACTTAGATTCTGTATACTAATTAAGGAGTATCCTGTGTCGATACCTAATTATTTTTTCAAATGAAAATCATCATATTTTCCTATACATTTTTAACCAGAAGAATTTTTGAAATTGTTGATGTATCTCAATTGATATTAGAACGAGCAGTTTCAGAGTTAGTTAGCTTTGCGTACTTAGAAATATAGGTCCAAGATTTAGGGTTTAGATAGTTCGGAGTTAACGACGATTTGAACATTTTAGTAATTTATATTAGGTACCTATAAATAGGTAATCTATCAATATTTTATAATTTTCCGAGTACTTTTATTAAATAGGTACTATAGATTACTATATCCAATATTACATCTGTTTTACATGTAGGTATGTAGAACTATTCTTAAGGACTATAATATTATAATTCAGGAACTTCGAGTTTTAGATTTTAAATACATCAACACTTTCAAAACAAAACCGCTTATAATTTACAATAAAAAAAGTTGGCTCTCATTTGAAATAAAAAAGTTGTCCCGCCATAGGACATTATTGAAATGCTATACGTACAAATCTAAATAACTGGAAATGTGGTTCTCCGGTGTATACTTGAAAATTCCAATAATTAGAATTTGAATGAATTCAATATTAACGAGAAACGGGGCTAGTGCATGCTTGGTGGACCTCTCAATGGAATTTGCATATGTGGAAGTATGATCGTATCTACAGAATCTGACACCTTGTTTTTCGGACCGTCGTTGTAAAGCTCAGTGCTCACATTGTTATAAAGTATATAATGTACAGTATTCACCGCATAGTATGATTTATATACCTATATAAATTTAATATATATTTCATACAATTATAATATTGTTACGGATCACGGATGTGTGATACCCTTATAAACTATAAACATTATTAGATAATAAGGAATAATGCTTGCTAAACATATTATAGTCATCCGTGTACGGTGTACGTGTATACACATACTCGTGTTAACATATTATTTT